CCAAGAGACAAAGAAAAGACTCACCTGACAAGTCCAGGTTAAAGTATTTCCAGCCTCCCAGACAATTACCTGAGCCAAAGAAGGGTAAAAAGAAACCAGCAGGGAAGGCACACCACAATAAAGATGAAAGCGGGGATGAGGCAACATCACTCCAACACAACAAGGCTGCAGGCCAGGTATGTTCTTTATCCAAATGTTAAAGGATTATGATAGATTGTTTTCAGTTCAAGCGGACAATAACTCTTCTAAAATGTTTTTCATTTGCGTATTGCAGGTCACAGCTGTGGCGAAGAAAGAATTGCGAGATGGTGGTTGCTGTTGTGAGGTCTACAGACAAAAAGTTATATTTCCTTCTCAAAATCATTCAGAGTTTAAAACTCTGCAACCCCACAAATGGCTTGTGGGTGAGGTAATAAATACTAGTCATAACATGCCAATAAGTATTTTTTCAATCACAATTCTAAACATATCGTGGAAAAATAAATGTCATACAGTATGAAGGATGAACATAGAAGTACATTAGATGTGCACCTAACCAAGTCTAAGGACATGTAATATAATTATGTAGTTAACTGGAATTGGAGTTTAATGTTTCTGATGACATACACTTAAATATTTATGGCCCTTATTCTGTCACTTTAAAGTAAATGGTGAAGATGGGTCATCACGTAAACATAGTATTATCAGCAATAAGACACTTTTTTGACTACATAACACCTTACATATGATCTTTAATCTCTCTAACAAGGCATATACAGTGGGGGAAAAAAGTATTTAGTCAGCCACCAATTGTGCAAGTTCTCCCACTTAAAAAGATGAGAGAGGCCTGTAATTTTCATCATAGGTACACATCAACTATGACAGACAAATTGAGAAAATCCAGAAAATAACATTGTAGGATTTTTAATGAATTTATTTGCAAATTATGGTGGAAAATAAGTATTTGGTCACCTACAAACAAGCAAGATTTCTGGCTCTCACAGACCTGTAACTTCTTCTTTAAGAGGCTCCTCTGTCCTCCACTCGTTACCTGTATTAATGGCACCTGTTTGAACTTGTTATCAGTATAAAAGACACCTGTCCACAACCTCAAACAGTCACACTCCAAACTCCACTATGGCCAAGACCAAAGAGCTGTCAAAGGACACCAGAAACAAAATTGTAGACCTGCACCAGGCTGGGAAGACTGAATCTGCAATAGGTAAGCAGCTTGGTTTGAAGAAATCAACTGTGGGAGCAATTATTAGGAAATGGAAGACATACAAGACCACTGATAATCTCCCTCGATCTGGGGCTCCACGCAAGATCTCACCCCGTGGGGTCAAAATGATCACAAGAACGGTGAGCAAAAATCCCAGAACCACACGGGGGGGGACCTAGTGAATGACCTGCAGAGAGCTGGGACCAAAGTAACAAAGCCTACCATCAGTAACACACTACGCCGCCAGGGACTCAAATCCTGCAGTGCCAGACGTGTCCCCCTGCTTAAGCCAGTACATGTCCAGGCCCGTCTGAAGTTTGCTAGAGTGCATTTGGATGATCCAGAAGAGGATTGGGAGAATGTCATATGGTCAGATGAAACCAAAATATAACTTTTTGGTAAAAACTCAACTCGTCGTGTTTGGAGGACAAAGAATGCTGAGTTGCATCCAAAGAACACCATACCTACTGTGAAGCATGGGGGTGGAAACATCATGCTTTGGGGCTGTTTTTCTGCAAAGGGACCAGGACGACTGATCCGTGTAAAGGAAAGAATGAATGGGGCCATGTATCGTGAGATTTTGAGTGAAAACCTCCTTCCATCAGCAAGGGCATTGAAGATGAAACGTGGCTGGGTCTTTCAGCATGACAATGATCCCAAACACACCGCCCGGGCAATGAAGGAGTGGCTTCGTAAGAAGCATTTCAAGGTCCTGGAGTGGCCTAGCCAGTCTCCAGATCTCAACCCCATAGAAAATCTTTGGAGGGAGTTGAAAGTCCGCGTTGGCCAGCGACAGCCCCAAAACATCACTGCTCTAGAGGAGATCTGCATGGAGGAATGGGCCAAAATACCAGCAACAGTGTGTAAAAACCTTGTGAAGACTTACAGAAAACGTTTGACCTGTGTCATTGCCAACAAAGGGTATATAACAAAGTATTGAGAAACTTTTGTTATTGACCAAATACTTATTTACCACCATAATTTGCAAATAAATTCATTTAAAATCCTACAATGTGATTTTCTGGATTTTTTTCTTCTCATTTTGTCTGTCATAGTTGACGTGTACCTATGATGAAAATTACAGGCCTCATCTTTTTAAGTGGGAGAACTTGCACAATTGGTGGCTGACTAAATACTTTTTTCCCCCACTGTATGTGACAATGACCCATTAAGTTGCACGTAGCCAGAATATATTAGAAAAATTAAAACAAAAGGCAAATGTAATTACGTTTGTTTTAAATATCGATAAACAATCCTAACTAACCAATATTTTCTGAAATGTCTATATATTTTAGTTTATGCTTAATTACTTGTATAATGTTCTTCACATTCAAAGCATTGGTGGTTTTACTTTGTGGACATAAAGTGGAAAGGAGGGGATCTAAAACTCACACCATGCAGCAGGACACCTTCAGCTGCGGGGTCTTTGGAATGCAGATTTGATAGTTATATTTTCAATAATGAATGTTTAGCTGTTATGTGGTCCTCTGTAGCTCAGCTGGTAGAGCACGGCGCTTGTAACGCCAAGGTAGTGGGTTCGATCCCCGGGACCACCCATACACAAAAATGTATGCACGCACGACTGTAAGTCGCTTTGGATAAAAGCGTCTGCTAAATGGCATATTATTATATTATTATTAAAGAAAAGGGTAAACACAACCCTGGACTGAACCCCCTAATTGTCAAACTAATATTAATGTTTGTGGTCCTCTGTAGCTCAATTTGTAGAGCATGGCGCTTGTAACGCCAGGGTGTTGGGTTCGATCCCCGGGACCACCCATACGTAAAAATGTATGCACACATGACTGTAAGTCGCTTTGGATAAAAGCGTCTGCTAAATGGCATATTATTATTATATTATGTACAACAACATAGAAGATACATAACTAGAGGTTATGCAATATGGGTATATATCCACTGCACACTTAGGTGTGTAATTGACATGACCAAGGAGCTATTGAAATTCAAAACTATGAACAATTTACATAACACTGCGTGAGATTACAGTACACAAACAAAAGGGTGTGCAATTTAGAAGGGTAGTCAGTGGACATTCTGAACCTTGTTTGAGTCCAGTAGGTCACATGACCAAGGAGCTATTGAAATTCTAAAGTTTGAAAAATGTAAAATCGTGTGAGATGACAATGGACAAACTAAAGGGTGTGCAATATAGAAGGGTAGTCAGTGGACATTGACAGCAGTTTGAGGGTTGTAGGTCACATGACCAGAGAGCTATTGAAATTCTAAACAATGAAAAACATAGAAAAATGTATGTAGAATCACCTGAGATGAAAATGGACAAACAGGTGTGCAATATATAAGGCTAGTGAGTGGATGTTCTGAAAGTAGTTTGAGGGTTGTAGGTCACATGACCAAGGCGCTATTGAAATTAGAAACATTGAAAAACATTTAAAATGTATGTAAAATCGCGTGAGATGAAAATGGACAAACAAAAGGTTGTGCAATATATAAGGCTACTCAGTGGATATTCTGAATATAGTTTGAGGGTTGTAGGTCATATGACTAAGGAGCTATTGAAATTTGAAACTTTAAAAATTCTCATAAAATCTCATGAGATGCAAATGGACAAACAAAAAGGTTTGCAATGTGTAGGCACACTGAGTGTACATTATGAACCTTGTTTGAGGTGTGTGGGTCACATGACCAAGGCGCTATTGAATTTCGAAAATAAATAATTTAAAATAGTGCGAGATGTAAATCGACAAAAAAAAAGTGTGTGCAATATGTGTCTCTGCCATCGGGTTAGCTAGAACCAGTTTTGAAAGTTTTAGGATTAATGGTTGAAGAGGTATTGACATTTGAAAAATTAGATTTGTCACTATATTGACGGTCCCTAACTGCTGTTGGTGGACGTTGGAAAACTACAGGCGAATATCCGTCGAATATCCAACCTCAATCTGTCTTTACCTCGGTGTACCGAACGTATTTTTACATTAAACTTGAAAAGCTGGTGAATGGCAAATTGAATGACTGCTTCCTGGGCTTAAAGGATAACGTCTCCTGTCTCCTGTAAACCCACACTCATCTAAAGTTACTGCTGTACATACCAGTACCATTCTTAGTACAACTTGTGTAAACTCATGCAGTGTACATACTTATCGATTCCATTTGGATTACTGTTAGTGCTATTTGGGTTGTTAATTAGCTAGCTAGATTCGTTCAGACGTTTCTTGATCTTTATTTATTTTGTATTATTTGTGTACTTGATTGACATTTTACTGCATTGTTAGGAGCAGTAACATAAGCATTTCGCTGCACCCGCTATAACACCTGCTAAATTGTGTATGCGACCAATACACTTTGATTTGATAAAGAGCGATTGAAGGTAGCAGATCTTACCCTGTTGTTGAGCTCCGGCTGAACAATTTGTACAGGCCCAGGCGGCATGCCTGCGTCAATTCCTTGCTTGCCTTAAAACGTGAAAAGTTCAACAAAAAGTGAGGTTCACTAAAATGTTCGTTCTCTTCACAATTACAATACTTGTTGTGGTACTATAGCTACGTCTAGAAACTGAATTAATTGCACAAAACTATTTCCAGATAGGACCTACTAGTGCGTTGTTCGTCCGTTGACCCGCCTGGAATGGAGGTCTTTTACTTCCGGAAACACATCTAAGCATTATGGGATTTGCAGTTGTACTAGCAGGTCGCTATGGAAATAAAGTGACAACATCCAACTCAGCTCTGCTCTCTCTCACACCATCTTCCTGAGGGCACAACAGCAAGTGGCTAGACACACCACATAAGAGAAAGAGTGCAAGCTACTAAGGCTTGTCAATATGACCCATCTCTTAGGACGTCAGGACTGCGTTGAAAGTCTCCGGAGAGATCTAATAGATCTTCAAGGTGCTGTTCTCGATGTCTTCTCTCGGACAGGCCCAGTTCGATTCCCCTCCTGGAAGTTCCCAGATAAGCTTTCATGCAATCTGGACCTGGTGTCACTATTAGAACAATACGACTTTGTTGATGGGGAGGAGGAATTCAATCAGCATTCACATATTGTTTTGCTGGAGTTGGTGATTGACAGGTAAGTTATTGTACAAATGGCCTATTGTAAAAATCTGATGTGGCTATAGGGAATAATAATAAGCCATTTAGCAGACGCTTTTATCCAAAGCGACTTACAGTCATACATTTTTTTTGTGTATCCCGGGGTTTCGAACCCACTACCTTGGCGTTACAAGCGCCGTGCTCTACCAGCTGAGCTACAGAGGAACACAATAGTTGGAAATGATTATACATGACTGTAATCCATTTATTTTCCCTAGATTGCTACTCCTGCTGCAAAGTTTCAATGCCCATGCAGAGCAGTTGAAGTTGGGACAGAAGAGAGAACACATTCAGCAAAAAGGTCCATGTGTATCAATTGGCCTTGTAGTTAGACACTATTGGAATAACTTGATCCAGATTGGCAACCAGAGGGTGGTGAGTTTTTAAAGCACTCCTGGTGTTAATATATATATATATATATTTTCACATACAGTAGCTAAAATTCATATCTTATGACCATGTTGTTTCCCCCTCTTATTCAGAGCATGAAGCAAGATATTCAAGAAGTGATCAAAACTCGAAAATGTGAGGAAAAGACAACTTTCTCTTCAGCATCCTCACTTCTGACCACAAAAAGTGATCTTGGTCCACAGTCTCCATCCATAGTGTCTCAGCACTGTACCTCAAAAACAGCAGCAAGCACTCCATTGTGTCCTCCACAGAAAATATTAAATGGCGCCCTCTCCTGTCCTACTCACAGAACAGCAAGCAGCATCCCCTCCTGCCTTCCCCTTATTTCCACGGACACTCGTAATGTAAGTTGCCAGACAGTAGTGTCCTCGCTTGTCCCCTGTGATGCCTGTGCTAACGTCCAGTCCAGTTTGAGGGAGACTGGTGATGCTCTGGTGGAGCTGTGTCGGAGCGAGGGCCTTCCCTCCTCTCTGCAGCGCCTCCTGGTGGCTGTGGATGACACCCTGGAGCAGGGCCGTCTGACTGCAGGAGATGTGTCCCAGTGGTCCACAGAGCAGCGCAGGGACATGGGCCGGGTGGGTAAGCATCTGCTGGAGGTGCGGTCCACAGTGCAGCCTCTCAGAGACAGCCTTCAGGCAGCGGAAAGGGAGCAGGAGGAGTTCAGGGCTCAGCTGGGCAGGGTACAAGAGAAACTGAAGCGTGAAAGGGCAAAGCACCAAGCCAGCAAACATCAGCTGGAGCAAAGACTGCAGGAGGCCCAGGCATCCAGGGAGGAGACAGAGAGGAGACTGCAGAAAGAACATGAGGAGCTAAGGAGAGGTACAGTAGTACTCAACATGTGAGGACAGAGAGGAAACCTTGCTGACAACAATATATTTGAAGGGAGACTAAATAATGTAACATTTCAAGAGTAAAAGTGCTTTCATGATATTCACAATATAAATGTGTCCCTTTTAGACACCGTGTCCCTAGAGGATAGCAACTCCAAACTGAAGGCAGAGATTAGTTTGCAAAAAGAAAGGTTACACAAACTCGGTAAGGACTTACACCCCCACCCCATGTCTGATGTTTTAGGAGCAGAAGGAAAGCCCAAGTTATCTAATTGTTGTGAACAGAACATCTGTCAAACATTGTCCTTTCTTTGTCAGAGTGTGAGAGAGATGAGCTACATCAGGAAGTGAAGGCGATGCAGGTAGAGGAAGAGGCACGGAGTAAACTAGAGGAGAAGACACAAACGCTGGAGGCTCAACTGTCCAGTACTCAGCTCTTACTTGACAAAGAGAAATCCAAGTACCAGAATGCCTGTCGCCAACAGGAGGTCTGTATAACAACCATGTATGGAGTTGGGTACTCATGAGGGCAGTCTTGAAAACCAGACCTGGGGCAGTGCTAGTAGATATTTTAAAGACTGCATCTAAAAACACTGATCCTGAAGATTGATTTGTGTCTGTTTTAAGTGAGTTGTTACTGCACAGTCTCACTGTGTCTTCAACAGTCACTGCAGGCCAAGCAGAGGTCTCTGTTGGAGCGAGTGGATGCTCTGGACCAGGAGTGTGAGGCGCTTCAGGGACAGTTGGGGGAGAGTGAGGACCGACAGACAGACCTACAGGAACGACTGACACACATCTCAGAGGAGAAAGACCAACTTCAAACCCAGCTCACCCAACAACGGGTACATTACTACCTGACAGCTCACAATGCAATTGTTTCATATAGTTCATTTTATAGTGCTGTTTGCATACATTGGGCAGGTACATATTTCAGCATAGCAGATATATTACCCATTTCATTTCCAAAGAACAATAATTTGTGTATAACTAACTGCCTTGCCTCTGCGTTCCCCGAGGCCTTGTGTTCTGAGCTGCAGCAGGAGAAGCAGAGACTGGAGAGTCATGTGGGTGAGCTGAAAGACAGTGTGAATCAGCTGAGAGGAGAGGTGCAGGAGTTAGCCCAGAGGGAGAGGCTGCTGGTGGCGTTCCCGGAGCTTAACCCCCTGCCTCAGAGATCTCCACAGAGTAGGATCATTTCCCTAAATAACCCAGTGATTTCTGTGTTGACCCACATGTTGAATTTGTTGACTTCTGTATTGTTTGCCAGTATGGGTTTACTTACATTTGGTTTTGAATAGTTACCGCACAGACCTGGTTACAACTACAGTATGTTGACTATGCTATCACCATGTCAAGCTGCCTGTCACAGCTCTGTGCATATTCTAACCTAAGACTTGACTCTGTCTCTTTCTCAGGCACAGGGGATGTGTTGGGGGATATGGAGCAGCAGTTGCAGGCTAACTATGTTCGGATTAGGGTTCTGGAGCAGGAGAATAGCACCCTGCGCAGTAGCCTGGTGAAACTGAGGGATAGAGCCCAACTAGGGGCTTCCATGGTGGGGTCCAAGGTGGGGTCCAGCGGACAATTCTACTCCTTTAGTATAAAGTGTGTTGACAGTGGAAACTGATGAAAGGGGCTAATACTTCAATACTGCTGCTGGAGAACTACTGCATGTTGTGATCTATCGAATACACCTGATTTGATTTGAACAATGATAAGGACAGTTGTAAACCATAAAACACATTGCAATCTCTTACAGATTACCTCCCCCAGCAGCTGTGGATTCACCCAGTCTCTGCTTGACACACCCAGAGAGAGCCAGCTAAAACCCACCCCCTATGTACAACACAGCCCTCTGTAAGTCAACACCACAGAAATAACATATACACTACCAGTCCAAAGTTTGGACACACCTACTCATTCAAGGGTTTTTCTTTATTTTTACTATTTTTTACATTGTAGAATAATAGTGAAGACATCAATACTATGAAATAACACATATGGAATCATGTAGTAACCACAAAATTGTTAAACAAATCAAAATATATTTTATATTTGAGATTCTTCAAATAGCCACCCTTTGCCTTGATGACAGCTTTGCACACTCTTGGCATTCTTTCAACCAGCTTCACGAGGTAGTCACCTGGAATGCATTGCAATTAACAGGTGTGCCTTGTTAAGAGTTAATTTGTGGAATTTCTTTCCTTCTTAATGTGTTGAGCCAATCAGTTGTGTTGTGACAAGGTAAGGGGGGGGGGGGGGGGGGGGGGGGGGGGGGGGGGGTATACAGAAGATAGCCATATTTGGTAAAAGACCAAGTCCGTATTATGGAAAGAACTGCTCAAATAAGCAAAGAGAAATGACAGTCCATCATTACTTTAAGACATGATGGTCAGTCAATACGGAACATTTCAAGAACTTTGAACGTTTCTTCAAGTACAGTCGCAAAAACCATCAAGCACTATGATGAAACTGGCTCTCATGAGGACCGCCACAGGAATGGAAGACCCAGAGTTACCTCTGCTGCAGAGGATAAGTTCATTAGAGTTGCTTCACAGAGTTCAAGCCACAGACACATCTCAACATCAACTGTTCAGAGGGGACTGTGTGAATCAGGCCTTCATGGTTGAATTGCTTCAAAGAAACCACTACTAAAGGACACCAATAAGAAGAAGAGACCTGCTTGGGCCAAGAAACACGAGCAATGGACATTAGAATGGTGGAAATTTGTCCTTTGGTCTGAGGAGTCCAAATTGGAGATTTTTGGTTCCAACCGCCGTGTCTTTGTGAGACGCGATGTGGGTGAACGGATGATCTCCGCATGTGTAGTTCCCACCGTAAATCATGGAGGAGGAGGTGTTATGGTGTGGGGGTGCTTTGCTGGTGACACTGTCTGTGATTTATTTAGAATTCAAGGCACACTTAACCAGCATGGCTACCACAGCATTCTGCAGCGATACGCCATCCCATCTGGTTTGCGCTTAGTGGGACTATCATTTGTTTTTCAACAAGACAATGACCCAACACACCTCCAGGCTGTGTAAGGGCTATTTTACCAAGAAGGAGAGTGATGGAGTGCTGCATCAGATGACCTGGCCTCCACAATCCCCCGACCTCAACCCAATTGAGATGGTTTGGGATGAGTCGGTCGGCAGAGTGAGGAAAAAGCAGCCAACAAGTGATAAGCATATGTGGGAACTCCTTCAAGACTGTTGGAAAAGCATTCCAGGTGAAGCTGGTTGAGAATGCCAAGAGTGTGGAAAGCTGTCATCAAGTCAAAGGGTGGCTATTTGAAGAATCTCAATATAAAATATATTTTGATTTGTTTAACACCTTTTTGGTTACTACATGATTCCATATGTGTTATTTCATAGTGTTGATGTCTTCACTATTATTCTACAATGTAGAAAATTGTAAAAATAAAACAAAAACCTTGAATGAGTAGGTGTGTCCATACTTTTGACTGGTACTGTACATTTATGTTTGCAGATAATACAGCATTCAACTGTTTTGCATGGCCAACTGTTTTTCTTGGGGACAACAAAAATTGAATCTTACCTTAGCATGTATAGTGTATTAATTCTAGTAGTGTTTTCATAAATCCATCCCGACAGACTCTTCATCTGTTCTCTCATTCTGTCCATCCCAGTCAGACCTCCAGTGCAGGATTGTTGAAACATGGAGTGAGGAGGAAGGGAGCAGACGAAGGGGCCGTCCCTGTGGAGATGGGGCCTTCGGATCACTTGTCCATCGCTGCCTCGTCGCTCTCTGCCACCTCCTCTACATCTCTGGTGCACCAGCAGACCCTCCGGCTCTCCCCAGACACCAGTGCAGCCAGAACCTACGCAAGAATACGCCAGGCATCCCGAACCCACTCTGTTTGCATGCACCAGAGGAAGAAGTGAATCCAGCACTGGGTGATCAACCTCATGTGACAAGTTTTGGAGCATAACAATGCTTAAAGAGGCTGGGGCTGAAAGAGGCTGTTGTTTGAAGTGTATGTCAGGCATCTCCATCAGGAGACTGTGATAAGGCATTGCATTTCGGCTCTTACACATAGTTCTTTGTGTATCAGCTGAGGCAGACACAGAAGATTTGGGCAGAGAAACAATACAGAAAAGCTATAGAGTTCAAGATCTTTGTCAACATTGAGCTGGCTTGAAGTCACTATTTACTGGAACATTTATTTGCATTCATACACAATAAAACTGTGGTGTCATGTTTCTTTCTTTCTTGAACTGTTGTGTTAATCATTTTGCTGCAGTGTTGGGGAGTAATGTATTTTTTTAGTAGCTTGGTAGTAGTTGAACTAAATTCAAATCTTGGTGGTGTTTTAAGTAGTATTTTACTTTTTTCCCCATGTAGCGGTGTAGCTAACTACTGGAACTACACACTACTTTTTTGCAAAAAGAAAATATGGGTGAAGTAGACAATTTTCTACTTTTTCGGCATCAGATCTTCCTAATTCTCACTTGGAACATTGTTTGTGTTTAATAGGCTAAATTACAAATTCTGTTAACATTTGACTAGAGTGATCTGTTCTTGAAATTTGTAGTCTATGACATTTCAGATTTAGATATGATAATTTATCACAAAGTAGTTTGGATGTAGTTACCTACTTTTTCAAAGTAACTTTAGTTAAGTAAACTATATTTTTTGTAAAGGCTAGCTTTAGTGTAGATTAACTTATTCCAGTGTGAAGTAATTGGTAGCTTGGTAAACTATATTTTCAGAGTAGCTTCCCCAACACTATTTGGATCACAAATGTGTATTTGCTGACTTCTCCCAAATGCACTTAGCACAATTATACACAAGGAGGTAGTGAAACAGTTTTATCTAGTTTGGAAGGTAAAGCAATAATAAACTGAGCATAACAAGCCCATTAAAGCACATACATTATTTAAACTCATGAATAAATAATGTGTTAAAGCACAAACACCAAAAATAATTTTAAATGTCTTAAAATTGTCAGTCTAGAACAGGCAGAGGCCTCCTAGGTAAAATACAAGCCATGGTGACAACCTGGTGTGGCTCTGTGTGTTTACCTGATTGGGAATTCTGAAAGAAACGTGCTCCGACTGGGAAAAATAGTTTTGAACGGTCATCCAACTCGGAATTCCAAGTCAGAAACTCTGGCATTTTTCTAGAGCTCAGACTTTCCGACCTGAAAATCACTGACGTCATGATTAGATCTAGTTTTTTTCAGAGTTCCCAGTTGTCTTGAAAGCACCATAAGGCCTTCTAAAGCCGGTATCACTTTTCAAAACACTTGAGCATGCTTTGTCTGACCAACTCTCTCGCTATCGCTCTCAGAACAATCTTCTTGACCCTAACCAGTCAGGCTTCAAGACGGATCACTCAACCGAGACTGCTCTTCTCTGTGTCACAGAGGCTTTCTGCACTGCCAAAGATGATTCCTCTGTTCTCATCCTCCTAGATCTATCCACTGCCTTCGACACTGTGAAACATCAGATCCTCCTCTTCACCCTCTCAGGGCTGGGCATCTCAGGCTCTGCACACTCTTGGATTGCATCCTACCTGGCAGGCACCACGTAGTCTCACTACTGGTGTCCCCCAGGACTCGGTTCTAGGCCATCTTCTCTCCATACACCAAGTCACTCGGCTCCGTCATATCCTCAGATGGTCTCTCCTATCATTGCTATGTGGATGACACTCAACACATTTTCGCCTTCCTCCCTTCTGACACCCAGGTGGCGACACGCATCTCTGTGTGCCTGGCAGATATCTCAGCTTAGATGTCGGCCCACCACCTCAAGCTCAACCTCAACAAGACAGAGCTGCTCTTCCTCCCGGGGAAGGCCTGCCCGCTCCAAGACTTCTCCATCACAATTGACAACTCCACAGTGTCCCCCTCCCAGAGTGCAAAGAACCTTGACACCCTGTCGTTCTCTGCAAACATCAAAGCAGTGACTCGCTCCTGCAGCTTCATGCTTTACAACTTTCGTAGAGTATGACCCTACCTCACACAGGAAGTGGTGCAGGTCCTAATCCAGGCACTTGTCATCTCCCATCTGGACTACTGCAACTCGCTGTTGGCTGGGCTCCCCGCTTGTGCCATCACACCCCTGCAACTTACCCAGAACGCTGCAGCCTTCCCAAATTCTACCATGTCACCCCGTTCCTCCGCACACTCCACTGGCTTCCAACAAAGCTCGCAACCACTACAAGAACATGGTACTTGCCTACGGAGCAGCAAGAGGAACTGACCCTGCCCTACCTTCAGGCTCTGTTTAAACCCTATACCCCAGCCCGAGTACTCCATTCAATCAATGAATCAAATGTATTTATAAAGCCCTTTTTACATCAGCAGATGTCACAAAGTGCTATACAGAAACCCAGTCTAAAACCCCAAACAGCAAGCAATGCAGATGTAGAAGTACGGTGGCTAGGAAAAACTCCTTAGAAAGGCAGAAACCTAGGAAGAAACCTAGAGAGGAACCAGGCTCTGAGGGGTGGCCAGTCCCCTTCTGGCTGTGCCGGGTGGGGATTATAACAGTACATGGCCATTAAGGCCAGATTTTTCTCCCAAGATGTTCAAACATTCATAGATGACCAGCAGGGTCAAATAATAATCACAGTGGTTGTAGAGGTTGCAACAGGTCAGTACATCAGGAGTAAATGTCACTTGGCTTTTCATAGAGGTTGAAATAGCAGGTGCGGTAGAGAGAGAGAGTTGAAAACAGCAGGTCTGGGACAAGGTAGCACGTCCGGTGAACAGGTCAGGGTTCCATAGCCGCAGGCAGAAGAGCTGAAACTGGAGCAGCAGCACAACCAGGTGGACGGGATAGCAAGGAGTCATCAGACCAGGTAGTCCTGAGGCATGGCCCTAGGGCTCAGGTCCTCCGGGAGGGGAGGGAGAGATAATTAGAGGGAGCATACTTAAATTCACACAGGACACCAGAAAAGACAGGAGAATAACAACAGATATAACAGACTGACCCTAGCCCCCCGGCACATAGACTATTGCAGCATAGATACTGGAGGCTGAGACAGGGGGGGTCAGGAGACATTCTGCCACCTCTTGGGCCTCTCACCCATATGGGAGGGCAGCTCCCGCTCAGCCCAATCCAAGCTCTTCTCTACTATTGGCTCTAATATTGTGTCACCACCACAATACCACGAAGGCAGACGTGTCCAATGCTTTACAGGGTACTTTGACAAGGGAGGGGTGAGTCCCCATGGCAACACTGGTGTTCAGAGCATGACACCTTGTGTGGTTTCCCTCCGGTCCCGCCTCGATCAGACCAACAGCGTCATTGCATTAATGCTGCGTTATAAATTCTGCAGTGTGTGTATGTGCACGTGAGCATACAGTCCTGATCATGTGGATTGTTGAAATGATTGCTGAAACTGATCACAAGTTGGCTCTTTTCTGAGTTTTCATTATGTAATCCAACATTTTTTGTGGATATGTGTGCATCAAAAGTTCAACATTCACCTTTTGCTACTACACTGCTCAAAAACATTAAGGGAACACTTAAACAACACAATATAACTCCAAGTCAATCACACTTCTGTGAAATCAAACTGTCCACTTAGGAAGCAACACTGATTGACAATAAATTTCACATGCTGTTGTGCAAATGGAATAGCCAACAGGTGGAAATTATAGGCAATTAGCAAGACACCCCCAATAAAGAAGTGGTTCTGCAGGTGGTGACCACAGACCACTTCTCAGTTCCTATGCTTCCTGGCTGATGTTTTGGTCACTTTTGAATGCTGGCGGTGCTTTCACTCTAGTGGTAGCATGAGACGGAGTCTACAACCCACACAAGTGGCTCAGGTAGTGCAGCTCATCCAGGATGGCACATAATAAATAAAAATAAATTGGTCATTTAGCAGACGCTCTTATCCAGAGCGACTTACAGGAGCAATTAGGGTTAAGTGCCTTGCTCAAGGGCACATCGACAGGTTTTTCACCTAGTCGGCTCGGGGATTAGAACCAGCGACCTTTCGGTTACTGGCACAACGCTCTTAACCACTAAGCTACCTGCCGCCCCACATCAATGCGACCTGTGGCAAGAAGGTTTGCTGTGTCTGTCAGCGTAGTGTCCAGAGCATGGAGGCGCTACCAGGAGACAGGCCAGTACATCAGGAGACGTGGAGGAGGCCGTAGGAGGGCAACAACCCAGCAGCAGGACTGCTACCTCCGCCTTTGTGCAAGGAGGAGCAGGAGGAGCACTGCCAGAGCCCTGCAAAATGACCTCCAGCAGGCCACAAATGTGCATGTGTCTGCTCAAACGGTCAGAAACAGACTCCATGAGGGTGGTATGAGGGCCCGACGTCCACAGGTGGGGGTTGTGCTTACAGCCCAACACCATGCAGGACGTTTGGCATTTGCCAGAGAACACCAAGATTGGCAAATTCGCCACTGGCGCCCTGTGCTCTTCACAGATGAAAGCAGGTTCACATTGAGCACATGTGACAGACGTGACAGAGTCTGGAGACGCCATGGAGAACGTTCTGCTGCCTGCAACATCCTCCAGCATGACCGGTTTGGCGGTGGGTCAGTCATGGTGTGGGGTGGCATTTCTTTGGGGGGCCGCATAGCCCTCCATGTGCTCGCCAGAGGTAGCCTGACTGCCATTAGGTACCGAGATGAGATCCTCAGACCCCTTGTGAGACCATATGCTGGTGCGGTTGGCCCTGGGTTCCTCCTAATGCAAGACAATGCTAGACCTCATGTGGCTGGAGTGTGTCAGCAGTTCCTGCAAGAGGAAGGCATTGATGCTATGGACTGGCCTGCCCGTTCCCCAGACCTGAATCCAATTGAGCACATCTGGGACATCATGTCTCGCTCCATCCACCAACACCACGTTGCACCACAGACTGTCCAGGAGTTGGCGGATGCTTTAGTCCAGGTCTGGGAGGAGATCCCTCAGGA